TTTTTTTTTTTTTTGACATTTTGGTTACATTGCATATCTTTGTCTCTCCCTAAGAAGGGTTAGAGTTATGCCCTTCCCCTCCAAAATGCTCTCCACATCCCTAAGATTGGGTTCCCCCCTACCCCCTGAATCCCTGGTGAGCACTGCCACCATTTGAAAACCATAGTTTTAATCAGTCAGTACTAATCTGATGGCAAGTAGATGTGGGGCCCATTTTCCACGTCTTGTGTCGCCTCGCTTTGGATAATGGGCTTAAGCTTAATCCAGGATAGCATAAACGGTGCTAGCTCACAGTCATTTCTTAGGATTGAGTAATATTCCATTGCGAGCATATACCACATTTTAATTATCCACTCATGAATTGACGGGCACTTGGGTTATTTCCATGACCGTGCAATAGTGAATTGTCCTGCTATAAACATTTGGGTGCGGATGTCTTTACGAGACCAAAACTAATTTAACCCCCTTCTTTTTGTTTCTAGAATATCTCTTGATAAAGAAGAGCAGGAGCTAAAAATAGAAATATATAAATAAGGGCCAGGTGAGCACTGAAACCTACCCATTGCTCAGCCCACACAGAGCTCAGGTCTGAAATTGCTCAAAGAAAGTGCTGGTTTTTTCTAATCTCCGTAAAGACGCCATTGGCTTGCCAAGCCATGTTCTCGTGGGTCCCTTTCTACCCATAAGAAGTCCACACAGAGGGGAAGCCTTTCCTAATTTGCTGGAAGTATCATGCATATAAATGCGGTTAAAATTTGTTTTTGAATGATGCTTTATCACCATTACTAACTTAAGGAACATAAAGTAGGAGAGATTGAAACTCATCATGGGATTTAAGTGGCACATTACGCAGTATTAAGAGAAAGAACAATGTTTCAAATGCTGATGCCCAAAAGAGCTGATAAAAAGTGAAATAAATTCTAGAGAAGGGAGCTCTGGATAAAGATCAATTCATCTGTCTATTCAATAATTTATTTTGAGGGAAGGCAGCTATAGGATAGCAGAGCACTTTTCGAGCTGCAATCTGCAGAGCCCTGTAAAGGTTGCCTGGGTGGAAGGTAGGATTGGCAGATCATACAAGTTCCAGGTGCCCCGATTTTGCAGCTAATCTATTTTAAAACAGAGTTAATCTACTTTTACATAAGGGTCTTCTAACATATGAGGAAACTTTCATGGCTAATGGCTAAACTATACTTGAAAACAGCGATCTTAGAAACTTGATTATAGCTATACTCATTGAGTGTTCACTACATGATGGATTTTAACAGATATTATCAATTTCATCTTTACAACAGCCTTATGTAACTTTGTCACCTCTCTCTATATATATGAAACGGGCATAGAAAGGTTTAAGTAACTTACTTAATATCACCCACTCAATGGCAAGGCTAAAATTTTGTTGACATCTGACTTTCTTCAAAACAGAAATTCTATATACTGGTTTAGCTTGATTGTAATAAAATATGCTAAAAAATCTATTTGGGGAAAAACTAAAACTCATCTTTAAAAACACAATTATCAAGACACAATTTGATATCGATATGATCTCAGTTAGTTTGATGGATACGAGCCTTGTTACAGCATGATGTAATTATCGATCTACATTTTTCTATCTGTGCCTTCAGCCACATCCCATATAAACCCAACCCTCTGATCCCTTAGAAAAACTCAATAATCTTGAAACAGTCATTTTCTTTCACAAGTGTGCATTTCTTCAATCTGTTCCCTACAATAATCTCTCTATTGACTTCATCTGGAGAATTCTTATTCATCTTTGAAACCTAGCTTTTTTACCTTCCCTGACTCCTCTACTGGGCTTATTCAGCTTCCCCCCTTTGTTTCTGTAGCACTTTGAATATAAAATGTCATTATATTACTATATATGTAAATATAAAACTATAGTACAATAGTCCAAAATATGTTACTCCTAAAATAAAAGTTACTTGAATGAATGAATGAATGAATGAATAAATGGAAACGACTGAAAATATCCACATCTTGAAAGATTAAGTGGTTTGATGTGGATTAAACAGTCTCTCTGCTGGGTGTGTTGGCTCACGCCTGTAATCCTAGCACTCTGGGAAGCCCAGGCAGGAGCATTACTTGAGCTCAGGGTTCAAAGCCAGCCCAAACAAGAGTGAGACTTCCATCTCCACTAAAAATAGAAAAACCGGGTGTGGTGGTGCATGCCTGTAGTCCCAGCTACCTGGGAGGCTGAGGCAGGAGGATCACTTGAGCCCAGGAGTTTGAGGTTGCTGTGAGGTACATGTAGAGTGCTGCACTCTAGCACTCTACATGGGGCAACTGAGTGAGACTCTGTCTGAACAAAAATAAAATAAAATAAAATAAAACAGTCTCTCCACTTGGCCTATTCTTCTGTTCCCAGACCCAAGATATGCTACCAATAAGTAAAGCCCCAAGAGATGATTGAAGTCCAGATTCGATTCTCTCTATCTGGTGCATTCTGTAGCAGGTTCATCTCTTCTTTTTTCAGGCCCCAATGTCAGCAAGATTTTGTCTCTTGTAGTATGGATGCCTTTTGAATTTAGAGTGACATTTACCCCCAACATTGCTCCAATTGGAATATTGCACAATGGATGCTTTGGAAGTTGTCAGAGAGATTCGTGTCTATTCCCAATACTATTAACTCCCTTACATTGTTTATATTTGCATGATTTTTGTGTCTAACCTACTATGTGATAAGCTTCTTTGGAGATGGGGACGCATATCATGACCTATTCCTTATTTTCTTATATCACCATTCCTCACTAGCACCTGTATGCAGGACACAGCAAGGTGTTTTGCTCATGGGGCATCTTTGAGGTTATTCAGTAAAACGACTATTTTCAGTAGATGTACGATATGCAATATAGCATACTAGCACATTGCATTCCCCACGGTACCTCACACAGGACTGTGTAAGCCTAATTTTCTGTTGCTATTCTCAGAACATTTTCTTTGAGTCAGTAAGGAGTTTTATTTCTTCTGCTTTATCAGACACTTGATTGCATGATGTGCTTTCCAGGCAACCTCACTTGAGATAAGTGTTCACGGTCATTTCCTTGCATGTAGGGTGTCATGCTTGGTCATGTGACGCTGTTACTCTAACTACCATCTTTTTGGGTGCAGGGGCCTGGGATCTAGGACACGTGGGAAGGTTGGGTCGGTTAACTGGGAGGTGATACAGACTGAGAAGTTTGACCAATAGCATTGCCCCTTGCTGGATGCTGACTACTTGATGCAATCAGATATTCTTTTTCCTGAAACTTGGAATACAAGTGACAGAGAAAGAGACAAGCAGTAACAAGTGTTTAAAAGCCTACTTAGACACACTAGAGATGTGGGGAGAAAATGAAATCAGAGAGAGAGAGACAGAGATAAGGAGATAGTGAGTCACCAGTTGGGAGAGGCCTCTGGAATATGAACAACAAAAGGCAGCATTTGATTGGCCAAAGAAGCACAAGGGGGGCTACTCCTGGTCTCTAGCAAGACTGTGGCATCCTGGACAGGAACACAGATGTTCGTCCTCCATGAGGTTTGAGCAGGTGTTCACCTTTCACTTTATTTTTTCATGTTGCTGTAGTGCATGTATTCGCTTCCCACAAGGGCACCTAAATGTCTCTTCTTTCAGGTTTCTTTGTGAAACATTATTGTGTCAATGTGCTTTCAGTTAAAACGAAACAAAACAAAACGGCAAAAAAAAAAAAAAAATCAAAGTTGTTAACAACCTTCAGGTGAATTAGGAGCTCACCTTCTAACAGTTAAAACCTCTGCATAGGGACTGCTTTTGAATCGAAGCAGTCATTGTATATGATCAGTGTTTAGGAATCAATACCATTAACACTGAAGATGTGTGCAGAAGTCCTCATTTATATTTCTCTTCTTTGCTTATCCTATTTGTTGCCTATTTGTTGTCTTAAATGCATATAATAAAATTTGTATTTAACCACTTAGGTATGAGTGTCGACTATAGTCGACAGCCACAGATGGACGCGCACAGCAACTTTAGCCGACAGCGTGATATGACTTTTCTAATTTTTCATTTATCAAAATAAAACTGTGAACACTTAAAAATAACGTAATGAAAACATATATGTTACCTATTCTGATTTACATTGCAAGTAAAGCTGCCTATAAATTAAAACAAGCTTTCAGTGCTTTAAAGCTTTCCTCATCACACAAGAACAAAACGGATTCGCCGTCAATGCCCAGCACAAGCCATCCGGCAGACTGTGAGTGCCGGCCGTGGGCAAGGTTTCACGGCCGGTGAGCGCCGTACTGAAGTGGTTAATGGCCAAAGAGTGTCCCCAGGCATTAAAGTCAATGATAGTATTAATTATCAAAAAGGGCTGAAAGAGTTGAGAAAGTTCAGTGTTCAGTCTCAAAAAGTAAAATCTATTATGGGACTTCAGTATGATAAAGGAGGCATGAAATGTTTTTTTTTTTTTCAATCCCCACAAGGGAATAGACATATTCTTATATATGTATAATTTGCTCTAAATTATTCAACTTATAGCAAAACTTGATGACAAAATGGTGATCAAATACCAAAACAAATACCAAAATAGTATAAACAATACTATTTAAGGTATGGTGGCGATTCCATGCCTTGTGACTTTTTAAATGGGAATTACAACCTTACGTCTTTGATGGTTTGGAAATGTAACTATTTAAGTCAGTAGCCTGAATAAAATTACCTTTTGGAGATTCTCTTCAAAGGTATAATTCTACAATCATTTATACATTTTGTATAGCAGATATTAAAAATGAAGATAAATGCAACTTGAACAATGAAAATATTATAAATATTTTATCAATTACCATATGGATTTGTGTTTTAATAGCTCTGTAACATGCAGGAAGCACTTTGAGTATTAGAGTACAGATGACAGGGTCACGTTAGGAAGTATAGAGATCATAGATGTGATTAAAGAAAGCCCTGTGTCATGGCTGACAATGGTGATCTTAATAAACTGTTATTTCTACAAATTTTCCATTCTGCTTAGTTATGCTGCTGCTTTCGTTGCATCTACAGCTGGTTCAAACAACCTGAAATAAGAAGCAGGACAAAGGTCACTCAAATGAAGGTCACTACCAGGGCAAAAACTTCACGATAAAAGCCAGAGTCACACTGGATAAGTCACAGTGGTGTTTCCCACGTGCAAAAGTTGTTCTCCCAAACCCACTGGGGTGTCAACACACTTTGAAATAAACAATAGCAATGTAAATGCTTTATGACCTCTGAGTTTCTTGGAACAGGACAAAATTCCTAGGGAGGTTTTCAATTTCCTTCCTCAGTTTTCTAAATGCACAGGGGCCTTGTATACAAATGGCCAAGATGGTCTGAAGACTTTTGGACCACTGAGTTGGGAATGTGTACTCACTGATTTATTTGTTTCAGCCAAGGGGAGGAATCTATCTCCATGAATGAGTTGTTAGTGACCAAACCTGTTGCCTCACCCTCACAGCTCATTGGATAGTTCATTCATTCATTCATTCATTCAATGGATTCAGAGTGTATATTATATGTCAGGCATCGTACCAGGCATTGGACAACCCACCACCAGAGAGACCCTTATAAAAGAATGTAGATTGGTAGATTATCTTCTGTAAAGAATTATCTCTGTAAATAGTCATTCATAAATCATCATTAAAGACAATTTTAAAGAAAAAAATCCCAAAATCCCTAGTAGCAGTGAGATCTTGAAAGGAATTTTTCACAGGAATTTTTGAAGAAGTTTATGAAGTACCCAAATCAACAGAATATGTTTATTGAATAAAAGACAAATGATATTCCAGGAGACCTGAGTCTGGTACCCCATGATCAGAAAATGGAAGGCCAACATAATTTGGATTGTAATAGAGATGTCTCCTTTTCTAGGTCCTCACATCATACTGACCAAGTTCAAGTTTAGAAGGAAAACATTTTCTGAGTGGAGTTTTGGGTTTTTTTTCCTTTTGTTTCTCTACGATGTAGTCCCACAGGAGAAATACATATTATTAATAGCACATTTTTGCTACTGGATTCATATTATGGATCACTGGTGCCCATGCCACCGAAGGCCACTTCCCCAACACTTGTATTCAGCTAATAGTCCCTGGTTTGCAGTTGTAATTCTGTGCCACTGGCGCTAACCACCGTCTCTGAATCAGGACCTGACAGATATGAGAAAGGTAGGAACAAAACCTAAAACCTCATCAAGAGGAAAAACAGCTTCCCCGAGTCATTATAACAAAGTAATAGTCCTCACCGACAATAAATAACATTTATTAAAAACAAAATCTATACAAGGCTTTTCATTGGACACTTTTCATACATTATTTGGCTGAATGTTTTTCCCTCAGCCCACAAGGTAGAAATTATGGCCCCTGTTTTATGGATGAGGAAATAGCTCACACTGAGTAATTTGTTTGGGGCCCCACAGCTAGTAAGTGGATTTAAATGGAAAATTGTCTGAGTACCCCGCCCCCTCCCCAAAACCTGAGTTCTTACTAACTCGCATGATACTAAACATCTGCTGGTGGCTGCACATGGAACCAGGTGCACTGGGGCTACAGATAAAAGGACAGAGACTACAAATGGCAACCTATGGAACTAACTCAAGTCCTGTCCCCAGCACTTAGTGGCTGTGTCGTCTTAAACAAGCTTTCTGAACCGTGGTTTCCTCATTTGTAAACCGGAGCCCCGTGGTTGTATCTATCTTCTAGGGTTCTTGCAAATTCAAATGAGGTAATGCATCTTGCATACGTTTCCTATTGGTGCTGTAACGTATATTATCACAAATAAGTGGCTTAAAACAACACACATTGGTTATCTTTCAATGCCGCAGTTCAGAAGTCTGAAATGAACCTTGCTGGCTAAAATCAAGATGTCGATCGGGCCACGTGTGCCCCGGAGGCTGTCGGGGAGAATCTGTCTCCTTGCCTTTGCCAACTTAGGGAGGATTTCCACACTCCCTCCATCTTCCAAGCCAGACTGCGGAGTCTCTCGCATCTCTGTACTGTGACATCCACTCTTCTTCTGCCTTCTGCTTCTGCTGTTCGGGACACTCTTGATTACATCAAGGCCACCCAGATAGTCCACAAAACTCTCCCTATTTTAAACTCAGCCAACTCCCCCCTTACAGCAACCTAATTCCTCTTTGCCACGTAACACATTCAGATTCCACCCATTAGGATGGGGATATCTTTTGTTTTTTTCCAGAAAGGGAGGCATTATTCTGCCTAACACAAATATAAAATGTCTTATGCTTTTAAAGTACTCAATAAATAATTTCTAGTGCTATTATTATTTTTTTTAATATGCTGCTAACATATGAATCTATTCTCCTTATGAAAAACTCAAACAACTTAAACACATATGTTATATATTTTGTTATATCCAGCCATGTTATATGAAAAATTGTATTATCAATGGCTGTATACTTTCTAGACAATTCTCATATGTATATGTGTATACACACACACACACACACACACACACACACACACATATAGTTATGACACTGAATTCTACTCCTCCCCAAAATACCTACCATTAGGAGTTTATCATATAGCCCAGTAGTTTTTTTTATCTCAAACATATAAATATACATTCACATAAATAAATTTTACTTAAAATGGCATCATAACATTAACATTGTTTAATAACTTGCATTTATCAAATAGTCTTTCCTCCATAATTAGTGTGTCTCTACCTTATTCTTTATGGTGTTTTATAGTGTGAATATGCTATAATATATAAGCCATTACCTTCCTTCATGGTAAAGTTTAAGGTTTCTATCACTTTTTTTAAAATTATAAACAATGCTACAAATGAGCGTCTTTGTGCACCCGTGCAAATGTGTCACTAGGGGAGATTTGTTTGAGTAGAACTGATGTGCTGGCTTAAAAATATTATGTTAATTCTTTAAAATACACACACATACACTGCCAATATACATGTAAGTGCAATCCTATCATACACTCCTCATGCTCTCTCCTATGCTCATATCCATACCCCACCTACCACGTTACCTTTCCAGGATCAATACTAGTAGAGAATTCCATCTCCAGTCTGCTGCCAGGCTGATTACATGGAGTATAATATAATTCACTGTTACTTTGACTCATGTTTCTTTGCTCATCAGCGCTATTAAGTGACTTTTCATAGGTTTATTGGTCACTTAGATTTTGCTTTTTGGTAAATTATTCATACTGCTTGCCCATCATGCTGTTGAATTAGTTGTCTATTCATTATCAATATGTATCAATATGCACTTTTTATTGCAGAGACTAATGCTGTGTCATTTGTGTTACATAAATATTTTCTAAATTATTAATTTTCTAGTGTTCTAGTTTCTGATGTATCTTGCAATACACACACACACACACACACACACATATATATCTCTATATATTTACTTTATGTAGTCAACCCTGTCTTTTCTATCTTATTGAGCTTTGACCTACCAAAGTGGTAGAGGGAGGATTTGGTATAACTAACTTCTTCAGATACCCCTTCAACTAACGTTCCTATTTTCTTCATTATTGTTTCTTCACATCTGAAATATCCATTCCTCAGTTTCTTGTCTCTATTGGAGTTCTTTAATTAAAAATAACCTGTTGATAGTTTTTCCAACTGTTGGCTTAGATTCAGCTTTCATGGTTCTGGTAAGACTGAGTAATTTAGTTTCTTCTGAGATGAATTCTCTAATCTCTCTTGGGCAGGTACGGTGGCTCACGCCTATAATCCTAGCACTCTGGAAGGCAGAGGAGGGAGGATCACTTGAGCTCAGGAATTTGAGATCAGGCTGAGATTAAAAAAAAATAGAAAAATTTAGCTGGGCATGGCGGTGTGCACCTGTAGACCCAGCTACTCGAGAGGCTGAGGTAGGAGGATCACTTGAACCCAGAAGTATTGAGGTTGCTATGAGTTAAGCTGCCACCATGGCACTCTAGCCCGGGCAACAGAGCAAGACTCTGTCTTCAAAAAAAAACAAAACAAACAGAAGAAAAAGAATTCACTGGAGGCCTGACCATGAAATATACAGACTGAATCATTCTATCTTCAGGCTGGCACCTCACCTTAATTGTCTTCTGCCTGTAACTCCAAATCTTGAGTTCCTCTGGTCTAATATTTTTCAGAAAATCAACCCTTGCCTCCTATGAAGACAGTGCAGGGGTGACTATCTCTCTGTTCCAGCAGTGTTGGGCAGCTGGGCTTTCAACTGTCCTTCTGTAGTCTTTTAAACCAAGCCCACCTTTTGGATGTCCCATTTTGCCTGCCCTCCTCAGTGTCCCCAGTGGCTCTAGTTGCTTAGCTTTTGGGATATTCTGTGAGAAAAAAAAATCCTGTTTGTTTATCTTCAGATTTATATGGTTGGTAACTATCTCATTCCTTATCCATTACTAACAGCTTTCCATGTTCATCCACTGTGCTTTCGAGTTACAGATATACCCTACTTCACTGAACATAAAGTTTTCCCTTCTCTGTGTATTGTGAATGTTATTTGAGAGCAAGTGATTTTCAAGTAAAAAAGAGGACACACGTGTCTTTGTTTTACCACAAGCACCAAAGGTCAGTGTTATGATAATGGTGATTACTGTCATTATTTTAAGGTAGAGTTTATACAGCATTGTATCTGTTCTGGAAATTTGGACTCTTTTCCTGGAAGGGAAGCTTAACCTCATTGTCTCTGAAGGAATAAGAGTGCTAACACACCGTGGTCTGCTCACACAAGTGAAACTGAGCATTTGCATGGATTACCTGTGTTGGCTGGCTAGTCTGCCTACCCTCTGCATTGCATAAAATCACCTTGCTAAGTCAGCGAAGGTTCTTGCAGTTGTTGGAGTGAAGATGAGATGGGTTTCTGCCTCCTGAGGATTCATATCAGCAACAGATTTGTTGGCAGCGTCTGTGTTCTCGAAAGCCAACTTTAAAAAAAAAAATCAATTAGTAAATGCAAGTATCAGTGGTTTGGATGGAAAACATATGATGCAATACTTAGAGGGAAGAACTCCTGTTAGAAAGTCCAAAATGGGGTAGGCATTTTTTGATTATCTAAAATAAATCCATTATTAGGGACTTATTTAGCTTTTTGAAAAAGTGATGAAGCATTTCAATTTATTGAAAAAAGTGCTTAAGCTTCTGACTGAGACATTATGGAAGACACTTTGAAGAGAAAGACACAGTAGACTTCAAGGGGCTTGCAGGTGGTGCCATTAACCAAGATACACAGATTATCTTTTATTTATAATGTACAGGTGGATAACGTGATAGTGAGGCCTTGAACTAAGAACACTGGATCTCAAACTTGGCTGTATATTAAAAAAATAAAGTGGGAATCCCATATGCATGCGTGCATGTCAGTGCAAAAATACAATTTTGCAGTGCTTTGCAGATAGTTCTGATGTGTTGCTAGCACTGAGAGTCGCTGAACTAAGACTACAGGTAACTTTGGAGGAAGATGCAGATGGGAGGAAAGGTAGTTACTCTTTTCTTTTTGTATTGGTGTCTCATCTTATAAATTCCAAGGAAGCCATTGCAAAACCCCTAAACCCTTTCTTTTCTCTACCTTCCTTCTAGGGATAGGAGTGGCAAGTCATTGGTTCCCTGTCACCAAATCTCAGTATCCCATAAATAGAATAAAGTACCCCACTTGAAGGCAAAGCCTTGGTCAATTAGCACTAGAGAAATTTTCTCTATTTCCAAAGGTAGAGTTTTGTTCCCCACACCCCACAACCTTCCTACTTTAATCAAACCACCAATTGCTATTCCATCAATTTAATCACAGGCTTTCTTTTGAAAAGTTGGCTGCTGAGGAATTAGTTTCCAGGGTCACTGAACCCCTGTGAGCAGCCTCACCTAAGAATGCCACAGAGCGTGCTCTTCTCAATTCAAAGGCTTGTCTGCTCAGATCTCTGCTGCAAACCCTAAGATAAGATGTCATCAACCCACAAAAACATTCCTCAGAAAGAAACTTACAAGGGTTCGACTGGCCCCCCATGAAGATATGGAGTTTGGTTTTTATTTTTAACCATGGTTAAAGATGAGATCTCTTTTTTTCATTTATTATAATAAAACACATCTTTCGTGACAAAAGCAAAACCAAAGCAAGAACAAAACAAGGTGTCATCAATTCCTGTGATGGTTTACATATGGACATACACATATCAGAAGCATGGATATGAAAAATGAACATTTTTTTCATTAGTGTGAATGGACTCCAAGGAAACTTCCCCCCTTAGGTTGTCAAAGACAAGAAAGTTAGTCGAAATGATTCCATCTCAATCAGAAGTAACTTTTGTCTGTCATTGTTCTTTCCTGACATCAGCTGGTTTTAATCTGTTTATTATAGCCCCTAAGGACCCCGGTAGATGTGCATAAACTGATCTGGGTTCCATTTTATTTCACAAATCAGTGAACAAAGCGGTCCTCCTGAAAAATTATTGCAAACTCCTCATTACAGATGACAATGAAGGAAACCAGGAGAACCAGATGGAGCTCTGAATCCCAAGTGGGTTTTTCAGCATCAGAATAGGCAGGAGTAAAAAAAGTTTAAAAATAAAATAAAGTCAACTACGTTTGACGTGCAAATTTGCTATGAAATAAATATGAAATGCCTCAGTGCTGGTTTAACCAGCCCTTCTTCTCTGAAATAATATTGCAAATTTATTTAGCTTCTATCCTCCTTGAAGATTCTCAAGCATGCAATAAGTTAGCAGTAGAGATGTTCCCCAGAGAAGCAGAGAAAAAAAAATAGCAAAAGGGGCAGTAAACATCACCCGTTCTTCAAAGATGTTAGAAACTATTTGAATTCAGAATCGTGACAAGGGCTCTTCCTTCAACATACCTATTAGGCAATTTCCCAGGTCTTATAGTAAAATATTTGGCCTTAGCATAGTGACCTACCATATAAGAAAGGCTGTATTCCAAATTTCTATCTAAAAAAAAAGGAGAGAAAACCCAATTTATTTATGTTATCACAGCAAAGGAAATCATTTCTTTAAAAGTGACTACTAATTGGAATTTTATAATCTGAAAAAGGGCTTCAAAAACATGTTGGCACATTTTAATATTTCAATAGGGTGGGAGAGGACACATCCTTCAAGTAGTAAACATATAGCTTTGAGACTCTCCCCCGAGAAAAAAAGTTGTTCCTATAGTTTGCTCTCTTGTCCTTTGGGAGTCTGAAGGAGCAACACATCTTTCTTCCTTGTGATCTTTGTTGATCCAAATTCAGAAACATTTATTCTGTGGGATTCAGGACTGTGTTTTGTGCTTTGCTCAAGTTGGATGGCAGTGAGCCTTTCTAGGACAAGTTAGACCTTTATCTTCTTCCTTTCCTGGATTCATAGGCATTGCTTTGGGTTCTTGGATTATTCTCATCTCCTGCAGGCTTGGCAACTACTGTACTCCATGACAACATGGAGTTAACTTAGTTTTGGTATTCTTAAATTCAACAATTTATTAACTTTTATAATTTGGGTACATAATAATGAGAAGGACATTCCCTGACCTCAGTGTACTTACACATCACCAGGCAAACATTTAATAAATGATTCTAACAAAATAATTTAAAGAAAATCCATGAGATGCCCATAAGGAAAGCAGCATAAGGATTCCTAAGGAAACTATTCTTCTGACCAGGGAAATTATCAGTTACTATTTCAGCTAAACATATAGGCAACACTTTGGATTGAGTTGTTCAGTTGCAATTCTAAATTTAAATGCAAGGTGTTTCTAGAAATAGGTAGCTGTGAAGAGCTTGTGTATTGGTGGAGATTAATTCATTCCCATATCTAAATTTTCTTTCATGAATTCATGAGAGAATGCCACAAAGATGCTGCTACCTAGAACATCCTATTTTTTTAAATGTTGGATTTTAATAATCACAAGTCAACCAATAATCAAGGATGAAGAAATAAACTGGAAAATCTTGTAGGATGGAACCAGGCTAATACAGCATTGCTCTGAATGAGCAAGATGATATTGGATTTTCCTTCACTCTACTGACTCTAAGGCTCAAGTCTGAGAAGGCATCGGGGGCCAGAACAGGCCAAGTTGGTACACCATCTGCCTTTTCATAGCCACTGAACCACACACCCAAAACAATGCCTACACTTTCTTAGGGTAATCCTAGGGTTTGGTGCAACACTAGCATAAATTTTCTAAGACAGCTTTGATTCTCTAGCAAGTGTAGGTAGTATAGATTTTTGTCTGTAAGATGTGATTTATGAAACACACAAATCTTTCCATGCCAAATTGCCCTTTTCTCACCAACTCCATTATGCTTAAAATTAGATACCTGAAAAAGTAAACTTCAGATTTATTATAGGTTGACATGCATATCTCAAAACAGGTGCTCTATTAAGTCTTATCAGTCATCTATACTTCAGTGTGAATTAGTTTAATTAAATATTTTACTTTGAGAAAAATGTAATGCTAAGTAAAAGAAGGGAAGAAATAACATTTGTTTAGAGTAGGAAATTAGGTACATTTTTTTCAAGTAATCCAGAATCCTAGTGAATTATGTATCACTATTGAAAAGGACCCTGAGTTCAAACAAGATAAATTACCAGCTAAAGTTAGCCAAGCTAGTAATAGAGGCAATATATATATAGTTCTATGTGAAACAATTAAACATACTTGAAGAAGAGAAATCAGGAAGACACCCTAAGCTTCATTTGGAACCAAAATTGAGCCTGAATGGCCAAAGCAATCTTAGGCAAAAAGAACAATCATGGAAGCATCACATTTCCTGACTTCAAATTACTACAATAGTTTAGTAACCGAACAGCATGCTACTGGTATAAAAGTAGAAATATAGACCAATGGAACAAGATAGAAAGACCATATATAAAACCACATAGCTTTGACCAACTGATCTTCAACAAAGCAGACAACAACATACACTGACAAAAGAAGCCCTATTCAATCAATGCTACTGGGAAAATTGGATAGCCACATGCAGAAGACTGAAATAGGATGCCTATCTCTCACTATATGCAAAAAAATAATTCAAGATGGATAAAAGACTTAAATGTAAAACATGAAACCATAAAAATTTTAGAAGAAAACATAGGAAAAACTCTTCTAGACATCAGCTTAGGTAAAGAATTCATGACTAAGACCCCTAAAGCAAATATAGCAAAAACAAAAATAAATAAATGGAACTTAATTAAATTTAAAGGCTTCTACACAACAAAGGAAATAACAGAGTGAATAGACAACCTACAGAATGGTGGAAAATATTTGTAAACTATAGATCCAACAAAGGATTAATATCCAAAATCTACAAAGAAGTCAAACAAATCATCAATAAAAAAGCAAACAATCCCATCAAAAAGTGGGCAAAAGACATGAACAGAAGTTTTTCAAAAGAAGATAGACAAATGGCCAACAAACATGAAAAAATACTCAACATCACTAATCGTTAATGAAATGCAAATTAAAACTACAATGAGATACCACCTTACCCCTGTCAGAATGACCATTATTAAAAAGTCCAAAAACAATAGATGAAGGTGTGGATGCAGAGAGAAACTAACACTTACACACTGTTGGTGGGAATGCAAATTAGTACAACTTCCATGGAAAACAATATGGAGAATCTTCAAAGAAATAAATATAAACCTACTCTTCAATCCAGCAATCCCACTGCTAGGTGTCTACTCAAAGGAAAATAAGACATTTTATAAAAAAGGCACTTGCACTCGACTGTTTATCACAGCACAATTCACAATTGCAACGATATGGGATCAACTTAAGTGCCCATCAATTCATAAGTGGAGCAAGAAAAGTACCATATACACTAGAATACTACTCAGCCATAAAAAGGAATGAAATTATGTCTTTTGCAGCAACTTGAATGGGACTGGAGACCATTATCCTAAGTGAAGTATCTCAGGAATGGAAAACCAAATGCTATATG